ACAAGACGTTTCATATGCACCAACCCAATATAAATCGACGTTGCATCACAATCGAGAGCGCATCGTCCGTCGTCGGTGGTCGCGAGAGAAAAAAAGCGCCAAGTCTTATTTGAAATTCATAGACTGTGGGGCTCATTAGAAACCCTATTTCCTCTATTGCAAGGATGCTCGTGCATTATGCAAAGAGCCACTAGCTGCGTGTTACCAGTAGCAACCTTATCATGTTGCATATCTGCATTTTATCAGGCCAAAGAACACGTCTTGATGGATGTTAGTCGTAACGATCTATGATTGATGCGTTTGTTGACGCGCCGTATTTCTTTCTCCAAGCACTTCTCATTTATCGACGGCAAGCTTTTTCATTGACGCGATTCGAAACTCGGATGACGATAAAAGAAACGATCGGTTGACCAAAACTTCGCAATAGGGTATCTGTGGTAAATAGATTTTGCAAGAAAGATGGATTTTGCGAAGACGCGCCTGCACGCGGTTCGATCAGCTCGCACGAGATCGTAACAGAAAATCTTTTACGTTACATGGGAACGTGCAAATATGCGATTACGTAAGAGCTGCGCGACTCGCGTTTCAGGCGGACACGAAATCCTCGTCCGCTTCGCGGAAGGCGAAGCAAACGTCGTTAATCGTTCGATGTTAATCGCAATCTCGTGTGATTAAACGGACAGTAAAGAGGAAATAGGAGAGTGAATAGTTGTTTCGCGCGTGTGCCATTCGAACGTGTCTTTGGACAAACCCTGAGAGACATTCTTTTGCTTTTTTCTCGCGTAAGACGAACTGAACGTTTTTTTAATAGTTTTGTCGTAATGAATCGTAAATAGAGAGTAAAGAATAGGATAATGGATGTTTGGTTTTTGTTACGGAACAGGAATACCTGAATTGAAAAGTAAATGGAATGAATAATTGTTGGGAAGATTTATAACCTATTTATAGAAACGTGCAGAGAGGTATCAGAAACGCGCAATTTTCAAATACCTTTCACCACGTATCATCGCTACGCGGGGAATAACAACGGTTGCTATTTTTTGCTTATTGATAATGACTATTGTTTGCTGATCGATAAAAAAAATCTCTTAAAAAAGAAAAAACCGCGTATAGCTGTTTGCAACGAACGAGTGCACGAAACATACGCTTGAAAGAACGCGATGGCGCTTAATACGCCACATTTCGTTCTAGTTTAACTGCTTCATTTGCCAGGGTCTCGCTACGCTTCACGACTACACGATAATGTTCGTGAAAATGTTTTTCTTTCGTGACGCGTTTAACGAAGCAAAAACAACGCTTAAAGTGTAAACACGAAATAATTGGTTTTATTTTTAGCGGAATTTATCGCCCGTCAAGGTCTGACATTTCCGCAAAGATTGATTTGTAATCGAAGAATTACAAAATGTATTACGTATATTTATGCGATAAGATAAGTTGAACTAAATGAATATTGAATTTGGCGGTAGCCCCATTAGTGTTGCCAACTGAGTGAAATTATAATTCTGAACTGTAGTTCTTGTAAGAGTTGCTATGTTTGACAACTTCGTGTTTAGGTGTTTACCACATTTACGTGATTAACCTACAAAAGAAGTTAAACAGTAAATATTGTTTATATATAGCTTAACTAAATATGGGGAAAACTTCGAAAGACAAACGAGATATATATTATCGACGAGCAAAAGAAGAAGGATGGAGAGCGAGAAGTGCTTTCAAGTTGCTCCAAATAGATGAAGAATGTCACATTTTCGAGGGTATGTATACAAAAATAACTGCAATGTTTTTCAGATAAAATGCAATACTTTGTTTACAATTTCAAAAAGGAGTGCACAGAGCTGTAGATTTGTGCGCGGCACCTGGTAGCTGGAGTCAAGTTTTATCAAAGAAGTTATGGCAAATTGAAGGGTATTAAGTATATTTACAATAATCAAGTAAAAAATCGTATGTTGCAAGGTATTTAAATTTTTCTTATGCTTTCCCACGTGGCACAAAGGTATCCAGAAAAGCATATTCCTCCAAAAATAGTTGCAGTTGATTTACAAGCCATGGCAGCAATAGATGGTGTAGTACAAATTCAAGGAGATATTACCAATATTAACACAGCAAAACAGATTATTGCTCACTTTGACAGTTGTCTGGCTGATTTAGTAGTTTGCGATGGAGCACCTGATGGTAAGCTTAAATTAATATATTGTTTTCTTTAATAGAAATTGATAATATTGTTAGATTGATCGTTTACAGTTACAGGTCTACACGATATGGATATTTATATTCAATCGCAATTATTATTAGCAGCTTTAAATATCACCACTCACATACTCAGGCCTGGAGGCACATTTGTAGCAAAAATATTCAGAGCCAAAGATGTGACTTTATTGTATGCTCAGTTACAGATATTTTTCTCCTATGTTTATTGCACAAAGCCTTGCAGTTCGCGCAATTCGAGTATAGAGGCTTTCGTAGTCTGTAAGAATTATTCACCACCAGAGGGTTATAAACCTCATTTGATGAATCCTTTGTTAATGCACGAGACGTGTGATTTCGATAAGCTTACAGGAATTAACAGGGCTATTGTTCCGTTCGTTGTTTGCGGCGATCTTAGTCAACCCGATTCTGATACTTGTTATCCGCTGAATGTAAGTTATTTACATTCACAATTTCCGCATAGAATTACGTTACGTTATCTATGTTTTTCTTCCAGTTCGAGGGGAAAGAATACACGTACCACGAGCCAGTACAAACACCGATTGCTCCACCATACCAAGAAGCGCTCTCATTGTTGGCGGACAGAGATACCGATTTTAGAAGGCCTGATGTTAGCGTGGTAGTGGACAATCTGAATTCAATGACTATTTCGGACTTTAAAAAGCAAGCGAAGCAAAAATGTAAGAAGGCAAACGAACATAAAAAGACTGAAGTGCAAGACAGCAAAAACAACAAAGACAACGATACCGACAAAGATGTATCAGAACTTAACGCGTTAATGTGTCTCACGTCTGTAAATTCTGACAATAAAGTTAACGATAAGGTGTAAAAATTTACGTTTCATTTTATATTGTAAAATTTCTTGAAATATACCATTCGTTTCATAAGAGTTATTGTTAATTTCCATTCGTCCCTTAATAATCCACCAAATCAATTCCACTATCTGTTTATAAACATAATATTATTCAAATCAGTGCCACGTACTGGAAACTTTTTTTCTTAATACACTTCGCGTTATGTTGACTACAATGGAATGGTAAACATCGTATCCGAATTCTAGCGACCTCGTCTAAGTATGACGCCGGCCGAGGTATTTATCGAAAGATATTTTAGCTATTCTTCTCAATATATCGAGCAACAACGATAGAATTTCTGTACGTGTTACAATTTTACAATTGAACAGACAAGCCGGGCGTGTTGCGTGTGCAAAAAACTATTTTGCTGCGCGCAATGCTGCGAACGACACCAGAAGAAGAAACACGCGAATCTTCAATTGGACTGTCCACTCTGCGCGTCTGAGAAGCTTCCGTTGAAAGCCTTCGAGGATAAAAGTCTGTTCTATCATATAGTGATCGCACATCTGCCACTTTACTGCTACTTGTGCGGTGAAACTTTCAAGAACAGCAAGGATTTGGAGTCCTTTGGTACGTATTCCTATCACTGATTTCTTCTTCGCTAAAAAAAATTCACAGCTACCATAAGTATCCTTAATCCTTACTATATCATTCTTCGTACAGTTTTACGCTAATTAACGATCCCAGATAGCACACGACGTCTTCGAAATGTCCATTTTTGGTCTGAATCTCTTACCACCTGAAACGTCTTGAGGACATTCGAATATCCGAGACTTTGTTAAGTTTTTAAAGAGGTATTCCCATTTGGAGACGTCATTTTTAAGCGATAATTAGGATAAAAAATTATCAGATAATTATAAACCAAGGAACTTCAAACACAGTGTAATTTTTATGTAATTATATTAATTATTATTTAAATTATTACGTGTTTGCCGCAGTGTGATCACGTTGTATTTTATTTGAGATAAAAAATGTATTTCGACTTTGAAAATATCGTTTTTATCATGAAAGTTTTAACTTCTTCAGACGGAAACTATTGTAGACATTGACGTAATTCTAGCGCGGACGATAAAGGGATATCTATTTCACACGTATTAGTTGATTCATTACTGAGAAATAAAAAAAAAACAAAATCGCGATGCATCCACTCTCTTCAAATCGTTATAACATTCTCATTTCGTTGAATTCAGGCGTACAATTTTAGTAAAACACTTTCACAGTGTTATACTGCGTTGTACTTTACAAAATCGATTTTTTTGTTCACCCCTCCAAATGGAAATACCCCCTTAAAAACTTTCTAAAGCCAGGGCATTGTGCTTCGCAGCGCCACGTTTCAAAGACATCTTGATTCGTAACACTGGACGTCGTTCAGACGTCTTTCCGACATCTTCAGGCTTCCACTAGACGTTTGTTTCTTTGCTTCTTGCCATGAAATTCATTACATCTATATTAGAACGAATTAACAGCTGCTTAAGTTACAATATTTTTATTTAGCCACTGTAGCGGTTTATAGTACCTAAAGGGTTCATTCTATCGTTGATTTATTATTCTTTCCGGTGACATTCTCTGGCGACGAAGGCACGTGCAACTGGTGGAAATCTCGACATCGTCATTCACTGGTCACCGAGCAGGAGTCCGTTCTGGGCACGCCACCGTTAACTTCGGACGAAGCTGGATCGACGGGGTTCAATGGTAACTTCGGTCCGCTCACCTCTCCTCCAGAGTTGTACAGAAGCACCAGCACACCGATGATCATGGGCCAGAAGAACAGCTTCGAGTTCAAAACACCGAACGTGCTGAGTTTCTTTCTGAAAACACCGAAAACCGACACCTCGTCGTTGAAGACAGATCAAATTCGCAACGATACACAGGAAGGCAGTTCTAAATACGATAATTCGACCAGCAAATACATCAGTTGCCCCTCGAACTTGGACTCAGCAGAAACTCCGTTTCGTTCTATGCCTCTGACTCGTGAAAATATGGAAGAACTTCCGCGAAGCAATTCGAGAAAGTTGAATATCACGAAAGACCAAGAAAAGAACAACACCAGTGAATATTACACGGATAATCATTGTCTGGAGGATATGGAATTGACGAACGTCGACGAGGAAGTTCCCGACTCTCAGAGTTCCGAAATAAACCAAAGAGAGAAACGATCAGATTCGCTGAAAAAAGTTCGATTCTCGGATCAACACGAGGATCCTCTGATTCCAAGCTCGACGGCCACGTTCAATATGACGGAAAACGAAGAATACTTCGAGGCGTGTAACACACTGTCCGAGATTAAACAATCTCTGGAGAATTCGCAGGTGAAGATATACCAGGACAACGCGAAAAACACGGAAAAAGAGAATCGTAGTCCGGATAAGAAAACCATGAACTGCAACGAACAATCTTCTGCTTCTTCGCGAGTGGTGATGATGGTAATGATTGAGAACAATTCTGCTTGTTCAACTACCGACTTGATCGACTCTGGTTTAAAGAAATTGCAACATTTCGCTTCTAACACGAACCTTTCAGGCAGCAGTCATAATTCTTCTAGTTGCAGTGGTTCGATTACGTCTGTAGATAGTTATTACAGTATTTCCAATCATAATTATTATTCGCCGCCAAATGTATCGAGTAGTACCGGTACCAAAGAGTTGAGTATTTCGTCGAATAGTAGTAACGAGAGTAGCAGCTCTGGTGGAATTTTATCCGCGGTTGCTAATGCAGTGAGAAGTGTCGTGAAGAACTTTTCCGGTATGTATATATAGTCATAGTCCTCGAGGAAATATATAAAAAATATTGTGGTGTAACTTTTGTGTTCTTTTTATTTCTTCATCAGGAGTGGGATCCTCTACGAACATCGAAAGAGAGCAAGTTTCTTCGATGGGCGACATTACAAGACCCTCCACTTCAGACACTTTCAGTTCTGTTTCTAACCTAGCGTCTTCCCTTTTCACAAGACCGAGAAAACGTCCGAGAGACATCGTCGAAAGCGTGCCGACTTCACAAAGGCAAGTGGATTATGTTGCTCCTCAGATAGAGCTGAGAAGTCCTCTTGCGAAACGACCTCGTGGATGGTATAAAATTAAGGGTCGAGAACCTATCGCGAGAATGCGAAATAAACTGCCTCTTACATCTCCGAGAGGAGTGTCTTCGGAGACTCAAGTTTTTCATCAAGGATCGTTGTCCGTTGGCGACACTGTTTTACCTCTACCCTCCAGGGCACACCAATCTACGCAAACTGATTGATAATCGACGATAATTGTAATTTTAACGTTTAATTTGTAATTTTTTTTTATCCAGAACTGATAAGCGTTATTTAATTTTGCACTTTTATATATACGGACATACATTCGTGGAAATGGTATGGTCTGTATGTCGACCGAAATGATTGTAACACTAAATATTTATTGTATCAGTTTGTTATTGTAAATTGATTCATTATTGCGTTAGTTCGTTATTATTAGTTGTTCGATGTAATAAGTTATTTCTTTATTATGGAATATTGTTGTAAAAATTGTAAAGTTTTTCTATTTTATATAATAAAACAGGCAATATTTTAAAAGTAATAGCATCGAGTAATTTAAATTTATCAATCCTCTTGGTGCTGTTAGATGTCGTATCAGTCAAGTTTGTTGTATTTACGATTGAGGTTATGTTCGGTGTTACAGTGCTTACTGTACAATAGTATTTAAATGCACTTTCAAATTTAACATTATTTTTCATTTTAACGTGGATCACTTTTAGGTACGTCACTCTGTTGTTCCAAATCGCGTGATTATCAAATTTCAGTAAATATTTGTTTCTTTGGTTAGTGAAAAAATGTTTAGCGTTGATTTATTTAAGCATTTCAATTTTTCAGTCTTAACAATGTCTTCGTGGAAGAAAGCTGCGAAGTCAGCGCAGAAAACTCATCGGGAAAGACATCAACCAGAATCTCGAAAGCATTTAGGTCTTTTACAGAAGAAAAAGGATTACACTGCCAGAGCTAAAGATTACCATGATAAACAGAAGACTTTGCAACTTCTGCGTAGACGTGCCCTTAACAGGAATCCAGATGAATTTTACTATCACATGATTAACTCTAAAGTTGATAAAGGGGTCCACAGGGAAAAAAGAAAAGAAGTTGATTATACTCCAGAACAGATACAGATAATGGAGACACAAGATATTCGATACGTAGCTCACAAAAGAAACATAGAAGCAAAGAAGATAAACAGACTTCAAAGTGAACTGCACATGATAGATGCTGCGAATGAAACCAAGAACAAACACATATTCTTCGTGGATGATACAAATGAGATGAGAAACTTCGATGTTGCAAAAAAGCTGGATACTCATCCAGCATTGTTGTCCAGACGTACAAACAGGCCAAAATTAAGTAGATTAAAGGATATGAAACTGCCAGAATTAGACGAACGTAGCTTAGATCAATTAGAACGGAAGAAACAAGTAGCTTACAGGGAATTGCGAAAGAGATTAGATAGAGAAAGAGAATTGACTATTGTACAGCAGAAATTAGAAGTGCAGAGAGCACTGAAAGATAGAAAAATTACTAAACCGAAATTAGTAAGTATAGGAACAAAGGATGCTGCCCCTATCTACAAATGGAAATACGAGAGAAAACGATGATTTATTATTTGTATTTAATATACAAGTTTAATAAATGTTTCATTTTAATCTATCCCTTTCGACTATAACTTTTCTTCTTCGTGCTTCTTCAAGTAATCTACTAATTAGTGCTTCATTTGCAATAATTGTTAATCGATATCCACTACTGTTGTCAATTCACTTCCTGCTTCAGTTAGAACTTCAACGTCTCGTGGTGTAGTAATCCCTTCAGTTTCTACCACGGTCTTCATCGTCATCGTTGGCATTGTCGTTGCCATAGTTGTTGCCATCGTCGTCGCCATAGTCGTAGTCATCATCGCCCCTGTCATCGTTGTTCCCATCGTCATTTGATTAGTGGACATTGCCGATGTCATTCCAGCCTTCATCGTCGTCGACATTCCTCCCATTCCTTGCGTACCGTTCGTCATTTGCATCGTTCCATTAGTCGGCATCATGGGCATCTCCGTTGACACGCTGACGCAGTCGTAATTTAATTGCCATAATCGTTTCTTCGAGACGATGTCCATTCGAAGGCAAACGGTGATCGATCTTCGAGTGAAATTTGTCGGAAATATCAATTAGAGAATGTCGTAGTTTTTTCAAAATTATAACGAAGTATGTCATACCTGGGAAATTCATTGAGTTCCAATACATTTATACACGCAGACGAGAAATAACATCCGGGTATATTAGTGCAGAACTTCAATGGCTTGTAATCTATATAATAAAAAGAAGAAACACTCGAATTAACAATTGTAACAATGATTAAAAATGAAAATTTATTACCCGTGACTGTTCTGGCTCTTATAGTATCCGAATTCAGCGTCACGTCGAGGTTTAAAGCGTTCCTTTTATAGGAGAAATTAACGCAAACTACGTAAAAAGATGGGAAATTTAAAGATAATAAATAAAATACAATTTTGAAATGATGTAGTTGAATTAAGAAACTTACGATTCTTCTCGATTTTAGTGTACAAAATGACGACGCTTTGGCAGCAAGAGCAAGAATAAGACTCTTTACAGGTGCAATATTTCTGAATCGTCGAGACTGCTCTGTAGCCCAAGAATTCTCTGGACGCAGCAACTCCTGATACACATTTTATAAAACAAATCAGACGAAATTGAACTTCTACAATTGCATCGAACAGAGAGTTGAAAAAAGAAAAAAGAAGGTCTAACTTTCTTCCGCCACAGTGGTTGCCCAATAAAACAGCAAATGCAACCAGAATAAAATCAGGACACCGCACACTCTGGAATTCATGCTTAGAATCTTTCGATACACTTTTTCACCGTGATACATTCACAATTCCACTACACGGACAGGTTGCATCTCACGATTATACTGACCGGGCATCGACGATTGCTGTTCCACTAAACAATACTGTCTCGGGTCGATGGTTACTCCACAGGATGTAATTATTGTGGTATAATAAAAAAAAAAAAAAAAAACAGCTTTCTGAATGTGTCTGTTTATTCCTCTCTTTTCCTCGATAACTCACGATGCGTTTTATTTAGAGAGATAGAGAGAGAGAGAGAGAGAGAGAGAGAGAGAGAGAAAGAAAAAAAGAGAATCGAGTGACTGCATTGATCGAAAATGTGATAATTATATTGTCACAGGATAAAATCGTCGCGTTACAACTATTTCACACGTCTATGGAAAGAAAATACAATAAATAGTAATTGCAGGCACGCAATAGCAGGAGGAATGCGTAATTGTACTATTAAGTCCTTCACGCTTGTCACGAACAGAATCTTAGGTTTCCTCAGAAATCAAGTAAATCGTCGTCTTCGTCGTCTTCGTCGTCGTAATCATAATCGTCCTCATCCTCATCATCGTCGTCACCTGGCAAGAATTCTATTTGACCTATTCCACCTCCGTCCTCTGGCTTCACCAGAGCCAGCCCATTAGAACCGAATCTAATGCAATCTAAACCGACCTGGAAACATATGCATTATTCATCGGATTAATCGAAGTGGTCGAAAATTTTCCTTCTTCGCTCCCGCAAATTAACGCGGTGAATCTGTCACGCCAGATTTACATGTTTCGCTCAGGGCAGAGAAAATTGCAAGAATTTTCATTATTCTTTAAATTCGTGAAATTTTCTTAAGTGAAGTTTTCTTAAATTATTCAAATTTTCTTTATTATTATAATTTGTTTTTCTAATTCAAAATAATGCCTAGTTAGCTATGACGTTCGAAATTTTAATTTCAGAAATTTAGAATTTTGAGAATAGAAATTTATTCAGAAATTTAATTTCATTCGACTTATTCCAAACATTTCAGGACCTCCGGTCAAAAACGACCACCGTGGCAGTTAACCAAACGATCACGGTTCACCTACCTTGAACATCGTGACGTCCCGGAATTTCCCCTCCATGTTCACGCACATGTGCATATTTCTACCCTGGAAGTATATGTTGTAAAATCGAACGCATGCTTTAACAATCGGAATTCGTGGCACTGGCACGCATACCGGTCGCGGGTTCTTTCCTGAAACGTGAAACACTTATCAAACGAACGAAGAAAAAAAGAAAGAAAGAAAGAAAACAGAAAAGAAACGAGAATGATCAATTCAACGTAGAGTCGAAAAAATACCAGACACAGTTCTCGTGTACAAAACTCTGTCGTTCATCGAGATTTTCGCAGTGAAGGCGAACTCTTCCGGTTCGTATGTGACGTTCACGCAAGCTTTCTGTTTCCACGTATCGAACAGAATTCTAGAGCAACATCCACAAATTCCTCCTCCGCATTGGCATGGACCTTGTCTGACTGCTGTCACCTGTGTAGTTGTGTTCGTGGTAGAATTTGTCGCTTTTTTCAACAACTCCTGCAATTTCTTCATGTTCGCGATCTTCTTCGTCGCGTCTTCGTTCCCCGTACGAGACAGCGCATCGTTATTCGCCGTTCTATCCGACTTGCTCTCCGTATCAATGGCTCGTTTGTTGGCTCGTTGGAACGAGCCTCGAACGCAGAGAACGGCGAGGAAGAGTAACCAACAACAGGCGATCCTCATATTCTCGTCCTTGAGGAGTCTCAGCGAGAGGACATCTCCTCGTAGGATAGAATGCTCCTTGTTAGACGTTCGAGACTCGACTGGTCAGTTAACGGATATCTCACTCTGACCTCGTTTTACGGAGAAATTTAGGTTCGCCTCGTGTACTGCTCACCCGCATTTTATTTTCTAGTGGATCCACCGATGGTAATCCGATTAAGGAGAAGAAACGATCTGGACACACCGTCGCGTGGCAGATTCAGAGTATACGTAGCCGTGGTGGAGAGGAGAAGAAAGGAGGAATGGTACGCTGGACGTGATTCTTGTGGAATTTATTCGATCCACTTGGTTTACTTAAAAAGATACGCTATCTTGAAATAAATAGTAATATGTTGTTAAATAGTTGGACGTAGATTCTTTTCGCTTAGTTAACCATTCTATGGCACAGTAATAAACGCTCGTGTGTATGTATGTATTAGGACGAATCTATTAACAGTTCGATAACGTTAGGAAATTTTCATGCAAATTTTTGGAAATACTACGATCGAAATTATGTATCTGGTTACAAGGTAGACGATTTTTGTCCTTTTGTGCTGTAAAGAATATGCGGAAGAAATATGTAACGATGATCGTGAGATCTCTGGAAAAAAATAATCTTACTGGTACGAGCGCCTCTTGAAATAGTATAACTTTGTCCTGAGGACTTTTTCCATAAAAGCGTAAATAACAAATTAGACGTCCCCATTTAAATGGTCTTGAACAGTAAAAATTCTTCTTTTTCCTTAATACCTTGGTTTAGAGAGCCACACAAGCTGATTGCAGTACATTTTTCGCAGGTCACTTTTTTCGTGTACATCAAGGTTTCTTAAATGGAACCCTATAACTTTTTCATTCCTTCTTTTAGCGGACAGAAAGACAAACACGGCAAGCATCGCAACATACTCAGTTTTGGCATTAGTACAGGAGTATGTGTAATACGTTAAAAGTCTCTCTTTACCACTAGAAATATTCCATCGATTAGTTTGACCAAATTTTCCACTTAAAGATAATGTACATCAGTTTCTCTCCAACGATCTCGAAAGATATACTATTTTAAAATAAATAGTAACGTGCGATGAAACGCACGCTTAGTTCGCCATTCTATGGCACAGTAATTAACTTATATATATAAACTGAAAATATTGAATAAAATTTGTTCAAAAATTCTTGAAAAATTATTTCTTCGTGTGTACTTTTATGTCGATGAACAGCGATAATGCGCGAACCTCGGTCGATTTTCCTTCGAGAAAAATCTGAAATATTTAAACACATGTCCGTCAAATTCTCAAATTCGACCATCTCGCAAACGAAGCAACATACCAACAAATTTCATTCCATACTTTCGACTTATCTATACACGTAGAATCACCTCCTGCATATGCACCTACTAAAAGCTTCTCGTTTCACCATCAGAAGTACAGTAGACTCCCGTATAACGCGGCAAAGATATCGCGACTACTGTTTTCATACAACGCGATTCCTCGTACAACGCTTAGATGCAGAGTTAGAAAAGAAATCATAGATTAAGGGGTTAACCGCGTTACACGAGTCGACTGCAGGGGTTCCCGAAGTGCGGCCCTTGATGGCAGATCAGCCGCCATCTTGAATTTACAGAGATAATTTACATATTTACAAAAACATAAATAAATTTTATCATATTACAATTAAAAAGTATTCAGTTAAGAAAATACTAAATTTTCTATGTAATATATCTTGTTATTATATAGATTGTATATATTTTATTGTCCAACGGCCAATGGCCGTAATTGTCTTAATGGCCCGCCAAATATTTTCGAACGTACAATTTGGCCCACATAGACAAAACTCTGGGAACCCCTGGTCTACTGTATTCCATCGATTAATCCCAAACTTTTCATTCAGCAAACATCACACGATCGTCAATTTTATCGAACAATTTCAATTTCAGCTGTCCAATTTCCGCCTCCTCCTCGGGAGTCAACACGCTCGTGTAATTCGCGTAGATCTCGAGATCCAGCTGCTCGAAGTCTACGGCGTCGTAGACTGCCGGTTCGTCGATCTGCTGTTGCGTTTCCTCCATGTTCTCGCTGGCGATGTAATCCATTTGCGCCCAATTGATCCCGTTCGGGCCTATTTCCACGCAGTTGAAACGCAATGTCAACACTGTCATGAAGAAAATTCGCGTTTCTAAGTTCAGACAGGTGTGCAGATTGTTCTGGTTGAAATACGTGTCGGACAATGTTAAACAGAACTTGACGAATCGCAGGATCGGAAGGCAGAACACTGACCGACTTCTGACTGAAAATTAACGAGAAAGATCCTTTTATTCGTAGTATCCGGGGGCCTTCATGGCAAAAAATAGGAAACCGACACAGGAGAATAGAGAGCCGAAGGCCCGGGTTCGATTCTCTGTTGGTTCTTTGAGTCCCTCAATATTTTTCCGTCGGTTCCTACAATATCGTTTGGAAAGATTAGATACGTACGAGATAAAGTTCTGTAGAAGATCCTGTTGTTGTTTTCGTAAAGCGAGATGGTAAAATCGCCGTTGTCAGGTGTGTAAGCGAATCTCATGCGTATATCAGCAGAAGCAGGATCTTCATGTTCGCAGAATTACCGCCATAGTTCGATAACTCGGTTTTCAAACCGACTCCGGTGCTTGTGATGTTGTCGGACGAATTGAAGATAGTTACTCCTGTGTGAACGAGATGTAATTCGATGGAACGTTATTTGGAAGCACGTAGCTATGTATCACCGTTTCTATCGTCGAACGAGCCATTTAGAAGGTAAAACGACAAACTCTGTGAAATGACGTTTGTTTAATTTGCTTTATTTGTGAAAAATTAAGCGTAAGTCTGTGTAAAAGAATTAAGGGTAAAAATGTGCTTCGATGCTAACATTGGAAGAATGTGAAAAAGTGGAGTTAATCGTTTCGGTTTGTGAATGGCTCGAATGTGAAATCCTTTGATCGTGAGAGTTTTCATTAGGGTAAATAGGAGTAGATAATTTTTTTTTGAAATACTCGTTAGATTCCACGATTCTTCCCGCCAGAAGTTTATCTATCAGGCGTACAAATTAATTCGGCGCCTTTTATCGTAGTCTCGATTCGTTTCTCGACTCGAAACTAACTCATTTCTTCGGATACGGAATTTATCAGTTGCGCGGTAAATAGAAAAAGGTGATCCAAAGTAATGTAGATTATTTCGAACCTTAAAATGAATTTTGTCTGTTTTGTGAATAAACGTTGAAGTTTGTAAACAAAGACACCGCGTTAATTAATTGCGTGGTTTCAAGTTTTTCATCCTTTTAATTCAACTTTGCTGCAAAAATTTCTCGCTTACTATCTCGTCTCTGCGATATGTAAAAACCGACTCATGTTTTATTAAATTTCACTGCACAGTATTTTCGTGCGTTTTGGTTCAACTGACCCACAGTGTACGAGAAAAAACTCTCCGTTTTTCGTTCAATTGATTCTAGACGAAATTCTACCTTTAGAAAACGTGGTCCCCGATTTATTCTATATTCTCGCGAATTCTCAATAAAGCGGTAGTTAATATACGTAGAAGAGATGCTGATTACCTATATGATTCTTCTCACGTTGAATCGCGAAACGGGAGGCTGCATTCTGTACCACGAGAAGTAACAGGAAAATGGCGAAGAATTTGGGCATGATGATTGTACAGGTAAGCGCAGGTGAGAAATGAAAGGTCCGTCGCCGATCGATTCTCGTCGAAGACTGAAATTGGGTTGAGATGAGACCAAGCCACGATACCACCGGTACTCATCAATTATACATAAACTTTCGGTAGAAAGTAAGATCGGTGGGATCAAAGGTATATACATATATAAGTGTATACCATGTACAGAGACGAAAGAGTCTCAAAGTTCGCTGGTAAAATTCGTTCGATATGATAGCAATCAAGTAGGTAGATTGAAACTACACGTTTATTCAATAGTTTTAATTACAGGTTCAATAAATTAATTAAATAATTAGTTAATAGCAATACGATATGGCTGAGGTCGCGTAAAACTATTCGCGGATCACTTCGTGTTTATCTAATTTTCTTCGTCTTCTTCTTCTTCTCCGTCTCTTTCTCTTCAAAGCTAATCTTCCGATATCAGACTCCTACATCTGTGATCGACATTATCATCTTTCCATTTCAGTTTCGATAGATGGTAAGTTTAATTAGTTCAAGCAATAAATTTAATTCTATCAATCTCGATGAAAATCGATTTCGTTCGAGAACCAAACATAAGCTAGAGACGAAGAGGAGAGAAACGAATGAAAAAAATGATCAGTCTCTACATTTCGTAACTAACGATAAACACGTAGATCCAAAAAAGAAAAGTACATAGTTCAACCGCTGTAAGAATTAAAAAGAACTTTGCCCAGGAGTGCAAACTCTGCACAACTCGAAAAATCTAAATCTCGCGATTTTCAATTATCCTACAACTGACATATTACTGAGTTTAGAATTCAAATTCTCGTCTCTTCGCTCTGACGACTGTTCCTCGAATGCCTGCTTCTCGCCAGAAGGCCGGTCAAACCTAATCCGTAATCCGAATCGTCGTCGTCAGCTTCGGACAATTGATGCTTCTTCAACTTTCCCTTCTTCTTTCCATCCTCTTTCTCGTCGTAGGCCAACGCGCTGATCAGAGCGTCCTCCTCGTCGTCGTCGTCGTCGTCCAAATCTTCCACCTCACTCTTATCCTCGTCCTCGTGATTTCCCTGCCCGCTCTCATCGATCTTCTCGTCCTCGTCCTCCTCCTCCTCGCTGTCCTTCTCCTCCTCGTCGTCGTCGTCGAGGATCTCCTCGTCCTCCTCGTCGTCGTCCTCGTCGTCGTCCAAATCACCTCCTAGAAGATCGTCGTCGTCGTCTTCGTCACCTTTCACCGGTTTCCTCAGAGGTTTCTTCTTCTTGTTCGCCTCGTTCTCGATCGCGTTGATACTCGTACTCGTGATAGTAGGCTTCTTCTTGCTCGCCTCTGACGCGGTGAATTTCTTCGTCGGTGTTTTGTCCGGTTTCGAGTACGAGGCTATCTTGTTAGAGGCAACAGTGACGAGTTCTTCCGCTTCGTTGGAGATCACGTCGGTGGTCGGAGACTCTTCTTCGTCCTCCGTGATGTTCTCTTCCTCCGCGGTTAAAGATTCTTCGCCGTCCTGAGTTTCTTCCACGGGATCGTTGCTGGAAACGCTGCCTACGGCGATTGGAACCAGTGGCGAGGAGGTTGGTTTCGTTAGAAGAGGAATGGTGAACTGAAGAAGAGGCGCTGCTGTGGTTACTTTCGGTTTCTTCGTCGTGGGCTCGTCTTCGCCTGTTATAATGTCTAGGAGAGCTCCGAAACCTAGGACATCTTCGTCCTCGTCTTCGTCTTCGTCCTCCTCGGTCGAGGAATTTTGTACGGAGTTTGCCTCGGGTGTGTCCTCGTCGGAGTCGTCGTCTTCTTCGTCGTCGTCGTCTGAGCCTAGGCCGAAGAAGTCGTCGTCGTCGTCCTCGTCGGGGACTTCCGCTTCGATGACTGGAAGGGGCTCCGCTGGACGTAGCTTTAGACCGTCTGGACCGAATCTGTAACGATAAAATCACGTAAATTTTGCGAGCTAATTTAAACTTTTTAAGTGATTTATCGATAATTTACATTTTTTAATAATTTATCCATAATTTAAATTTTAGAAATGATTCATCGAATTTGAAAAATGATTTATCGACAATTTAAATTCTTGCGAAAAATTGATCGATAACTTAAATTTTACAAAAATAACGAATCCTCCGGTTGTCTGAGTTACCTGAAGCAACTGACGCGAAGGCTAGCTTCCAGCTCAGTGTCCGACTGCAACTCCAAACCGAGACAAGCCTTGAAATGGTTCTTGGCATCTCGTTTAATGGAATAAATTCTACCGCAGAATTTCGTGAAGCCTCCAGGTAACGGTACGCAGACAGGCTTGGGACTCTTGCCTGAAAAATCCATTCACACACGTGTACCTCGTTATCGATCGTCCACATAGATCAGGCCATTCAGGAAAGCTGTTCCTTTATTTGTTTAATATATGCGAAACTTTCACCACAGAACGGATCACGTCGTAAGTCGATCGTACTACGCTCGTGCGTTATGAATATTTTAACTATCCTAGCATGAAATCTCACACACGATTCACGATTTATTCAGAAAGGAAACCGATCTCTTCTTCGCACCTCTGTGTTACCTGAACGTTCACCTCAGCTGAATCGCGACAAGGCAGATACGGTATTTTTCTTTATTTTTTCGTGGCTACGTCACGCGAACAGCGTTAGGTGAAAGTTTCGGATCGAGTTTCCTGAATTCCACGGCGAACAATTAACACACTTTTCACGCGACAGCTTTTTCGAATGTGTCACACAACTTTCGAACGGTGTTAACAATGCGTATAGGAATCGACCACGAGCAATAAAGAGTCGCGCGTATTTCAATATTTTTTTTACGACCTGAAGGTGTCTGTAGAAAGTAAGGAAACCACTTACCGTTAACAATGGTGCTTGTTAAAATATTGTCCCCGAAGCTCAGTTGAACCGCTAAATTGTCACCTTGCAGATACTGCAAGGATGCGCATCCTGTAAACGAAACGGTTCTTCGTTGAACTGTGCGATGGACACAGAGAGAGGAACAAGTGTAACGCGGCGCGCACTCGTTCGTCGTCGTCTCGTTTCCTTCACTGTTATGCTTTCTAATAACCACCTTCTATCCACGATTAATTGAATTACGCAACGCTTACCTGGTCCCTGTAATTGCACCAGCGGTATATGGAAGTCTCGGCAGCAATTACAGATGTTCTCGTTGCAGGTACAATACCTGTTCACGTTGTCGGCCGCTTGTTTCAAGGATAACGTCGATATACCGAAGTTAGCCTGTTTGGTACCGCTTAGATCCCTAATCGATCGTTCCTCGACACTTTCATCATGTTCTGTCAAACGATTCGATGTTTAAAAATGTTCTTGAGAAAAATTGGGGGAGTTTGAAAGACATTTTTGATGTCTTGCGAGAGTGAAGAATTTAAATTTACTTTGCAAGAGATTTACAAAGGATATAACATTGTTAAAATTGAAAAATGAATGCACTTGTAAAATTAGATAAGAAAAAATAGAATCATATTTCCATGTTATTCATAAATAATTTAATTAGGAAGTTTCTACTCTTTGCTCTGTCAAACGATTCGCTTCAATATTTAAGAAAATATTCTCCAGAAAAATTGGGACACTTTAAAAGACACTTTTAACCCTTTGCGAGAGTGAGGAATTAAAATTTACTTTGCAAGAGATTTACAAAGGATATAACATTGTTAAAATTGAAAAATGAACGCACTTGTAAAATTAGATAAGAAAAAATAGAATCATATTTCCATGTTATTCATAAATAATTTAATTAGGAAGTTTCTACTCTTTGCTCTGTCAAACGATTCGCTTCAATGTTTAAGAAAATATTCTCCAGAAAATTTGAGACACTTTAAAAGACACTTTTAACCCTTTGAGAGAGTGAGGAATTAAAATTTACTTTGCAAGAGATTTACAAAGGATATAACATTGTTAAAATTGAAAAATGAATGCACTTGTAAAATTAGATAAGAAAAAATAGAATCATATTTCCATGTTATTCATAAATAATTTAATTAGGAAGTTTCTACTCTTTGCTCTGTCAAACGATTCGCTTCAATATTTAAGAAAATATTCTCCAGAAAAGTTGGGACACTTTAAAAGACACTTTTAACCCTTTGATAGAGCGAGGAATGCTTAAAATTTACTTTGCAAGAGGTTCACATAGGAAATAACATTGTGAAGATCAAGAAACGGACGCATTCTTAGAATTAGATAAGAAAAAATAGAAACATATTTCCATGTTATTCATAAATAATTTAATTAGGAAGTTTCTACTCTTTGCTCTGTCAAACGATTCGTTTCAATATTTAAGAAAATATTCTCCAGAAAAGTTGGGACACTTTAAAAGACACTTTTAACCCTTTGATAGAGCGAGAAATACTAAAAATTTACTTTGCAAGAGGTTCACATAGGAAATAACATTGTGAAGATCAAGAAACGAACGCATTCTTAAAATTAGATAAGAAAAAATAAACACAAATTTCCATATCATTCATAAATAATTTAAATCGCATAAAAAGTTTCTACTTTTCCGTCATATATCAGTGAACGCTCAAATTCGTCCTATTTCAACTAGAACATACCCAAGAATGACTTCATCTAATTCTACAAACTCAATTTCAAAATTATATTCCAGCAGGTTCGTGAAACCAGTGACTTCATCCTTCGGTAGCACATCTCTAATTATCTCTAATCCTTCAATCAACGTTTCCTTCTCGCAAGGAAGTAAAAATTCCCGCGAAATTGCCAGCTCGTTATTTAATAACAAGGAGTTTAACGTTAACAACGTGTAGAACTGTCGAAAATTATTACCGATCACTCGTCCGTATGCGGCGAACGCAACCAGAAGGAGAATCAGCAACAACTCGACCACCGCCGACAGCCGCATCCTAACGCTCGTCCTGCAACGCAAAGTATCACGATAATTCCCCCGTTGTTTTTTCCTCCCTGCAACAGAGGTTCACCCTCTAAATATGCGTGGACACGCGTGTCCGCCATTTGCATCGCGAAAGTTAACCGTGCAATTGTCATTCTACGCTTTTTCCCTGTCGCGCCGCGATTCGGCTTTTGCTCAAAGAGAAAATACAATTGCATTAAGGTGCATTGACATTCACAGTGTCTCCGTCTCGTCCCTATCATTCATCCCGCGTTCTTTGTTCTGAGAAATTTTTACCGAGAAACACACCGTTTCCAATGTCAAATCTACAAAGCCCTGTCTTTTTAACCCTTTCGCTACGGCAGATTTTAACGCGTAACGTGGGTAATAGGGAGTCAATTTTTAACCACGGCTGGAAAATTTCTTATTTTGGCTGTCGTTTTAAATGTTGGTTTATTGAATTAAGATGGAAGTGCGTGAGTATGAAATTAAGTACAGTTAACTCTCCTATAACGCGATAAATTGGTTATACGCGTTATATGGAAACCGCGTTATGAGAGTACCGTGTTATAGGAGGGTTTACTGTAATAGAAAAATTCATGCTGTAGGGAGATTGCTTAAGCTAATTGAGTTGTTGTATAGAGAAATAACGTTATAAGCCTACCGCGTTATGAAAGTGCCGCGTTACAGGAGGGCCGTCGCAAATTTTGCTCCGCTTTAGGAGAGTACCGCGTTATAAGAGAGCCGCTGCTACTTTTGCTCCGCATTATAGGAGGGCCGTCGCAATTTTTGCTCCGCGTTATAGGAGGGCCATCACAATTTTTACTCCGCGTTATAGGAGGGCCGTCACAATTTTTCCTCCGCGTTATGAGAGTGCCGCGTTATGAGAGTACCGCGTTATGAGAATACCGCGTTATAGGGAGCCCGTCGCAATATTTGCTCCGTGTTATATGGAAACCGCGTTATAGGAGGGCCGTCACAATTTTTGCTCCGCGTTACATGGAAACCGCGTTATGAGAGTACCGCGTTATAAGAGGGCCGTCGCAATTTTTGCTCCGTGTTATAGGAGGGCCATCGCAATTTTTGCTCCGCGTTATGAGAGTACCGCGTTATAGGAGGGCCGTCACAATTTTTGTTCCGCGTTACATGGAAACCGCGTTATAGAAGGGCCATCGCAATTTTTGCTCCGCGTTATAGGAGGGCCGTCACAATTTTTCCTCCGCATTATACGGAAATCGCGTTGAAAATACCGCGTTATAGGAGGGCCGCCATAATTTTTCCTTCGCATTATACGGAAATCGCGTTATAGGAGGGCCGTCATAATTTTTGTTCCGCGTTACATGGAAACCGCGTTATAGAAGGGCCATCGCAATTTTTGCTCCGCGTTATAGGAGGGACGTCACAATTTTTCCTCCGCGTTATGAGAGTGCCGCGTTATAGGGAGCCCGTCGCAATTTTTGCTCCGTGTTATATGGAAACTGCGTTATAGAAGGGCCGTCACAATTTTTGCTCCGCGTTACATGGAAACCGCGTTATGAGAGTACCGCGTTATAAGAGGGCCGTTGCAATTTTTGCTCCGCGTTATAGGAGGGCCATCACAATTTTTGCTCCGCGTTATAGGAGGGCCGTCACAATTTTTCCTCCGCGTTATGAGAGTGCCGCGTTATGAGAGTGCCGCGTTATGAGAGTGCCGCGTTATGAGAGTGCCGCGTTATGAGAATACCGCGTTATAGGGAGCCCGTCGCAATATTTGCTCCGTGTTATATGGAAACCGCGTTATAGAAGGGCCGTCACAATTTTTGCTCCGCGTTATGAGAGTACCGCGTTATGAGAATACCGCGTTATAGGGAGCCCTTCGCAATTTTTGCTCCGTGTTATATGGAAACCGCGTTATAGAAGGGCCGTCACAATTTTTGCTCCGCGTTACATGGAAACCGCGTTATGAGAGTACCGCGTTATAAGAGGGCCGTCGCAAGTTTTGCTCCGCGTTATAGGAGGGTTTACTGTATTAAATTAAGGTGTAAGTGCAGCGAAAGGCTCGAACGATATAGCTCGAGCAAAATTTCGAAACGCCTACAGGCGCCAATAGTAACGAAAGGGTTAACGCAGTTTTCAACTTACACGGTGAGCATATTTCATGCAAATTCGGGGCATAGGATGCTCCAACTCGCGGCTCGAATGAATTTCACTCGAACGCGAAGAGTGTCGTCGCATTCGCGACAAATTCCCGCCACAAGGACGACATTATAATACATAATACGAGGTAGTGAAAAAACACCGAGCTACTTTATGAACTGAGTAAGCTATACCTTTTTTTCTGCGATTTTCACAGGGCATAAAAAGAGACTCGACGCTGTATATTTTTCGTTCAGTTTGTAAAGGTTTCGAAGCGAGCAGTGTTTGTTCAGAAAATGGTCCGCACGGTGCAGAAATTGGTCAGGGACGACAGGAAAACGAAATTACGGAATACCGGTTGTCACGCGGAGAGCTGCCGGATGCTAAACTTGGCGAACAATACGGCCACGTGTTCCTGCTCGTTAACGATAACGCGGCAAAAGGGTGAAACGCGGCTGATCCGCGACGGGCCAATCATTTCGAGCAGCGAGCACGTGGGAGGAACGACTTTTTCTCCGATTTCGAGCGACGCCTGCCCGCGCTGACTTCTCGTCTGCGACCGGTTGACCTAAATCCCGGTCACGGTCAAAGACGTCTCTCCCGAGGAGTTCACCGTTCGAGTTGGTACTTGGACGAAACGCGCACCAGGAAGCACGCACACGCGTCGTTCGCGTTTATGGCGACCATTATGCGGTCACGTCGCGGGAAACGGTGACCCATACGCGTCGGTATTCGTTCGATCGATCGATCTACTCTTTTCCGGACAATTGCGATATCGTACGAAAGAATTCTCATGAATGAAACCTTAGTCGAGAATCTTCACAAATCTACTCTAGACGAAGAAAAATTACTTTTACTTTGAGTAAATTAGCGTATACCGTGGAAAATTGAAGTAGATTCGACAATCGACGCAGATCGAAAGTTTCGAAAGTTCAAGGAAATGTGAAAATAGCAAACGAAGAATGAACGAACTTCTAAAAGAAAAAGAATAGAAGTGTACACTAACCTGTGCGATAGAGAAAAAATTCCAGTGAAAAGTTTGGTACGTAGTCAAGATGATTGTTCAGGAAGGACTTCTCTCTTCGTCGCACCCTTCCGCTCTTTTTTCCGACTCTTCGTCTTACGGAGGCCAATGTCTAACTGAAGATGCCGCCCAACTCCCCCCAAAGGTTTCTTTAAAAGTCGGTCAAGCCACCACCACCTGCCTCCGACCGTCGCTACGATTATTAAACATTCTAATACGTTCTAGGTAAATAAGACAACCGATTCCCCACTGATACGAGGGAACCCTATACGATTCCGAAGAAGGTTTCGGCGCCTCGCCTTGAACCGGTACCCCAGGGGTCAAGTACGCTTCGATCAACTACTCCACCGGCATCTGGTCCTCAATGAAAGACTTACTCTCGAACAGTATCGCGATGATTCATCTCGGGGAGATCGCGATACTTGGGTGGGGAAGATTCTGAATCTGGTTTGCTACTGGACACCAATTTGCGTCGATCGAGATCAATCGGATGGATCCGCGTGACGTAACGATGCTTCAGATAAGCTTGGAAAGTGTCGATCGAACGATTCATTTTGTCCAGATTAGAGCTGTTGCTAGTCGAAATACTCGTCGAACTTCGTGGAGTGTCCAGATTTTTATGCGAATATTCGAGTATCCGAATTCGAATTTTCTTTGTTAGTTAGTCATTAAGGTGGTTCTTTCGGTTTTCGAGGTCAAAAAAGTCGATATATTTTTTTATAGCGAGACTCTTAAGAATTAACGCTTGGTTTAATTTTTTCTGGACAATAGGAAAGTCGCTAGCCTTGGGACAAATCAGCAAGGATGTTCGCACTCCACGGTGTATAATTCTGAATTTTGTAAACATTTCAAGTCGTTATTACTGATTTTACTCGGCAAAAGGATGAATAAAAATGTATACAAAACAGCAATATTGTCACTTCTCTTGTCTGAAAAAAAGGAAAAAAGGATGTCTGTGCATGGTTTCGATATTCTTTCAGGGAAAACAGAAAATTTCATTAAAAAACAGAATACAACTTTCAAGAAGCTGTAAATCCAACAAAAAAACCAGCAGTATATTTGCAGAAAACTATGTTTTATTAAAAAAAAGAAAATATCTGATTATTCATTTGCACCAAACTGACGTATCCGGATATCCGAATCGAAATCACGCGAGTATACTCGAATCTAAATTGATACTCAAGATTCAGCAGTAGGAATTCTAGTCCAAATTAATTCTTTTTTTTTTTTTCTTAATTAGATCGTAGGAGGTTTCAATTGCACTGCAGATGTTTATGTAGGTTTGCACATGTTTGGACGTATAATACAAACCTCGATCGCGACGTTCTAATAGCCAGTCCCACTTCGCAGCGAATTTCTATCGCCATAAAGTTACATCGTTCGCGAGGTGACCGCGGTGCATCCACAATGAGCGTTCCGGAAATTCTTTATTCGTCCGGCGTGTAGCTCGCAACGACTGTGTATGAAAAAGTTGGCCAAAATTATTCCGCTAGTTTTCACGCAGCCGAATGCACTTAGAAACCATGAAACTCCAATTATTTCGTACAATATTACATGAAAACTCGCGGGAGAATAAAAATTCAGGAGTAAGCCGATTTACACACGTAATTTACTTCACCGTTCAATTTTCATATTGATATTCTCGAATTGAGAGTTAATTTTAAATAATTTTTTCATAATATAGTAGAAAATTAAAAATAATAACGATTGTATTTTAATAATAACAGAGAAATGTAAAGAAGTATGCGTTTTAATTGGCCTTCTTCTTCTGCCCAAATTCTGAACCACAGAAGCGGCCATTGTGGCACTTCGTTTTCATAAAATTACAAGAAAAGGAACGCTGTTTTAGTTTTTAATAAAGTTTCAAAATTCGAACTTCAGCCACCTTTTCAAATAAAATATTCCACCGAGTAACGTTACAATTTCGAACTTTTTCACCGACTTTGAAACTTCTCATTTGTCTAACCCTATTTCTCGACGTTCAAACCGTCAATTAAAAATCCACGCTTCACTCTCGCAAGAAATTACAATTGTACATAGAAACCGTCGACTTAATCTCCCGACGTTTTTCGAGTTTCACGATGACAAACGTTCGTCGGCCAGATAAAATCCAGCGGCCGGGCGGAAGCGTGTTTTGGTGGTCGAGGAGGGGCCTTTCTCCGGTTAGTGGGTCGAAGAAAGTAGTGTCCAAGAGTGGTTTACCTTGGTTAATACCTGTCCGGCAGGATGAAGGTTCCACAATGGTATTCGAGTGTCTCGTGGTCGTGGAACGTTGGACAATTATTGTCAACGACGCGCCACAGTTGGCCAGGGTGTATTTTAAGATAAACTCGCGGGGTCCTCCCGATAGTTCTAAACGGTGGAGAAGAAGAAGAGGATGTGGGTCACCAAGGGGAACGAGTTTTTACGTAACGTTCACGGGATGATCCTTGTAGATTGCTCCTGGCCCTCCTTTTTTTCCTTCGAAAGCATAATCCGATCGGGAGCAGCAACAGGAAAAGGAAATCGAGGAGATCGATCGAGCTTTTGATAAATCATAACCACACGCTAAACTTCCTCTACCTTTTGCGCTCCTCGAACCGTGAAACTAACGATGTCGAAGTAAATTATATAACGTTCTCGCGCGGTACCACAGGTATACGACACCGGTAATTGTCGCAAGATAATACGTTTCGCGGAGTGTCCAAGGGGAACGACGACAATTCTGTTTGCCCGTGGCCAACCAAGCGTACGCTTTTCCTTCCCCTTTCGTTCGATGTTCTTTTAATCTCACGTACCTCTACATCGGACACGATCGATCGGAGAAAGGCGGCGTCGATCTTGCACTCGATGAAAATATAATTGCTAGGAGGAAAAGATTCGTCTGGAATCCTTGATGCTATTAATCACCGCGGCGTATTGCTGTCGTTACGCTCCGTCGCACGATCTAGGGTACAAAAGCGACGACAAAAAGTCCGACAAAAAGAAGAATACAGAAGGGGGACGTTATTGATGTTTCTAGACATCCGCGTAGAATTCTGAGAAAATAGTTTATTCTTACAGAGTCAGGTTCACCCACGCGCGATGCCCACGAATTTTCACTTTTATCCGTTATAAATCCCCCCGGAGGGGGAAGAAAAGAAATCGTCGGGCTCGCTGGAGCGATGAAAATTCTGTGAAAGAGACGAAGGTAGAAGAAGAGGAATAAAAAAGAAGAGATTGCTTTTACTGGCGTGGTTTAAACGGGCGTACATATCCAGCCAGTGGTGATCCGAAAAGAAGAGCACTGCCTTTTTGTCGGAAGGGGGCCCAGCCAGAGCGCAGGAGAGCCGAGGTAGATAGGACAGTCGCGTAAGTTCTCTTGGTACCAGGTTGAGGAAGGAGGTCACCCGGTCACCCAGATGAGGTTCCTTGCCCGTTGTTACCTCCGCACCTCGGCCAATGGCGTGGCACCTCATCGTCGCCGTGGCCAATCCTGTCGCCAGTTTTCGTGCCGACCGCCAGCCGATCGCCGATCCGAGACCCGCGCCCGGCTTTGTGCCCAGATTTAAGCTTCTTCCTTGCTGGACAGGATCTCCAGGCCTCTGCGACGTGTGTATCCTTTTGACAGTTCCGCCAGTTCGACAGTATTTTTCTCTTTTTTCCCCCTAGTGATTCGATTATACGCGTTCGTGATTCCATTTCAGACGATTCGTCAGACGTATATATACATTCGTCGACCAAGAAGAGACCTCCCGTCGTCCCTTCGTACCTGAGAATCTGAAGGGAATTTAAGAAGAGGAACGTGACGATGACGGCCGTGAGATGTACGATTCTGGTGCTGTTGATCAGCGTCGTCGTCGCGGTATCTTCCGCTGGACTGCTCGGTGAGCAACGACGGATCAGTTACGCTCTCGTTGGAAGAATAGTTTCTCGCGGTTTTTCCAGCATCCGTCTGCGGAACGCTAGGAAAATAGTCGAGGCTCGACCGATGTTGTGCTCTCGTTTGTTCTTAACGCGCGGGTAAACAAACGATTCAGACGGTTCGGCATACCGATCGCGCGGCCTTCTTCTTGGGGGGTAGGTGATTGAATTTTCGTCGTGGCCACGCGTGCGTGCCTACGTTCGCGATTTCACCGATCGACGCGTTTGTTAAACGGTCCCAAAGTTTCGTTTTGTAATTGTTCTTCTGTAGAAGAAAAGATGGTTAGTTGTTTCTATCGACGTGGAAATTCACGGTGAAGATAAGCCAGGCTGAATCTGTCCCAGTAATGCGAGAAAGTTCGCGGATAGACGTCTTTCTGACTCATCGACGCGGCACACTTAGCGCGTATAATAGCGCGCGTTTTGTTCAAAACGCGAAAAGAGTTTTCGATGGAGGAGGACGTTCTCGCGAGCACGTCGTTGGAAAGGAAACGGTGTCACAACATGTCGAGAGAAAACTTCGTGAACGTCGTTGTTGTGTGTATGTGCGTGCGTGTGTGCTGGCACCGATGGAAATCGCAGACGATTTTTTTCGTTGACTTTCGATCGACGACTTTCGTTTCGTTCCAATTTCTCTTCCAGAAGTTTCTCCCATGCGTCTCTTTTGTATTTTTTTCTTTCCCTGCCACAGAGACGCTGTTCTCGTGGGATTTGCCAGATGCTGTTGGTAGATCGAACACGCCGCAATCGCAATGTCTCTGTCAGACCACCAATTGCCTATGCTGCGTCGATCTCAATCTGACGGCCACCATCGATCTGGGTGGCCCAGCCTGCATCAACGTCAAACAGAAGGAGCAGAACATCTCGTTGAACCTTAGCTACGGCGACAACCCGGTGCACAATGCCACTATTAAGATCGGTGAGGAATAGATTCGTTCGAGAATTATTAAGTCGTGTAATGTGAAATGTCAATTTTTGCAGGGAGCAATGAAAATCTGTTTTTAACCCTTTCGCTCCTGGCATAAGACACCCCTATTTTGTTATAATAGAAATATCACAGAAGAAACTGGAGAATGTAAGGTTTTTCCAGATATTCAGGTGAAATTTTCTGTAGCTCTGAAAAGATTCTTCGTGGGATTAACAGGGTTAAAAGCTCAATGATTCCAGGGATTTTGGCGATCTCACGACTTGAGCGATCTATTTGTGAATGATTAAAAATCCGATATTTTCTTTATATTTCTGTTTATTTTTTCTTATTAGTTAAACATTGTTTTATCCAATGTATGATTCGTAAAAACTAGGAAGATCCTCCAGGTGATCCACGGAGTAATTCATATCAGCCTGTTTTAAAAAAATTTAACAAATGATCTTCGATCGAGAGTTTCACTCTTCGATTTGAATCATCTAAATGCAAGGAATTCCCATTTTTCGTGTAACAGTAACTTAAAAATTGTTTCACAGTGGATGCAGCCAACAGGCCGACCTGCATGAACCTTCTATCAGACCTGGCGCAAATATGCGCCAAGTTCACTACGATCAAGCAAGCGGAAGCCGGTTACGACGGTTGTCTGGTGATCGAGCCCGCATTGCTGGGTACGCCTCAAGCCACTTACCACATGGGATGCTTCAATTTCAATCAGGTGGTCCGGCAGCTCGAAGCCATTGCGTGAGTACGATCCCCCCCAAAAAAAAAGAAAAAATAATTTCACGATCGATGCACGCAACTCGTACCGCATTACTCACGCTGCATCGACGTCACAGCGTTACGGATCGATCGATCTTAAATTTCCATCGTGTCTCGATTACGAACGTTTTCATCGTTAATTCACCCTTCCTCGAATTTCCCTCGCAGCACCACCGAGACGATAGAAGCCACAGACAACACCGAGGAGGAGGAAGACCCGTTGAACACCGACGAATTAATCGCAGCTGTGTCAGCTAGCGCCGAACAAGGAATAGCGCTCTTCTCGCAATGGCTGGGGCTGAATTTGAACCCAAAATTGAACCTGACCAACAGGAACAACCATCAGGAGGCGGCTAATCAACGAGCAATCCCATCCACGACTTCGCGATCCGCTCGAGCGCATTGGGATCAAGAGGAGAAGAACGACGAACGGTTCAAGCAGTTACTCAGCGCTCAAGACAATATCCTGAAGGGTTCCGCGATGATCGGCCAGCCGAACGGCGCTGAAACGACGTTCGTTTACTCGAAACCCTCCGAGCTGTTTTCCCCGGAGAAGAATAACGAGGAGAGGAGGGTGGACCAGGTGAAAATCGATCCGGAACACCTGGTCGTGGTGCCGAAGGAGTCAAGGAGAGGCGGAAGGGCGTACAATATTCATCAGCACGTGAACGAGATCTGAGAGAGTTCGTTTTCTATTCGACACCGATCGACCGAGAATGAAAGTTACAAGTAGAGTTTCTTAGCCTATCCTCTCGCTACGTAGAACTGTATTTTCTCAACGACGAATTAGGGAACAGTTGTTATCTCTTTCTTCTTTTTCTATTGTACCTTATCGACGAGATTTTTCAATCGGTCTTATCACGGACTCGACCAACCGAGGAACATCCACGAACGATTACATTTCAACTGGATCGTATTGGCGTTACAAGCGTCGTTCATTTCGAGAAGTCTGACAAACCTGATCAGCCCCGTTAGAATGATCTCCCGTAATTGTGATCGTCTTTGTTCTTCTCCGCGCGAAGATTCTTGTTTCGTTCGAAGAACGAGTCGTCGCTGAATGATCGACGCTCGCGATTACGATTTAAGGATGCAAGAGAGTGTCGGATGGACGAAAGGAGGACGTTCTTCCGCGAGTTTTCTTCTTTTTTCACGCGGGTATTGAGACGTACAGTAGCTTTTCTACAATTGACGCAAGGTGTTGTTTCTGTTCTGCAAAGAATGCATATCGGGATCGTGGCAGAATTTTCTTTCCATTATGCGAACTATTTATTTCGTTTTCGATCCCCGCATAGCAAGTAGAAAGTACAGTAACATCCTCCAAGTAGTTCGTACGCACGCGACAACATCCAGTTGTACTTAGACACACTTATGGTAAAACATGTATGCACGCCGTCACGAGCGACAGTTTTCAATTCTCTTTTTTTTCCTTCTCGAATAAAAAAATAAACCTAGCACGCGTGTGTGTACAGGAGATATTACACGTTAGGTATTGTTGCGCGTGGGTCAAAGGATTGATCGTCGCGGAAAAATTCATACACACATACACACACACCGTGTATCGAACAGAATGAATTAGAACTATATTTGACAAATCACTTTAGATCGTTGGAATAGATTTGAATTCCTTCGAAAGGGTTAAACAGTCCTCGAATCCAAACACGTAAGAACAGGGTAGAAAAATTACAGACACACACACACAAACACACACATACAGGACAGAGAAACTTTTGTTCTTTTCTTGTTGTCGTAATCGTAACATTTGTAAACATCGTTGACACGGATATACGGTTAAATAAAACCATAGAAAGAAACGGTTCGAACACCTTTTCTTCTCCTTCCATCCTCTGTCCATTATTTTCTTCATTCTTTTTCCCCCCTTTTTGATCGATGTTGCACGTTCGCCGGAAAATTGCTACGCGTGTGATGCATTACACGCGTGTCGCTCGTCACGAGAGATTAATCCTAAACGTTTACGTCGTTATTATCTTTGATCCGTGGAAGACGAAGAGGAAAAGCTTTTTTGCTACCAACGCGATATTAGTATTTTTTAAGAGAGCCACTCGACGATACATTTTATACGTATCCTGTGTGGATTTTAACCCCTGTGTCAATAACCAGAATTGCCGTCTACTTCATCGTCCAATTTTAGTAGTTTTCCGATAAGAAAATTCGAGGCAAACCAGATAGAAAATGTGGCAAATAACGATCTGGCTGGATATTTCAATCTTTTACCTGCAAGATCAAATATTTTAAGTGAGATTTATGCAAACGGGTACCCGGTTATTGACACAAGGATTAAGGATGACTGCGAAACGCGAGCAAAAGTGTGTAAGTTCGCGATTCGTTAGAGTTGATTTTTTTCTCCGCTCCGTTCGAATATACATACTTCTCGTCGACTTGTACGCGTCTTACGTCTAATTGAAATCGTCGATCGTTTACACGTTGGCTTCGTTACGCCTTGAAAAAATCGATATAAGAAATATATAATCAATATGTATATCACTGTATAGATATATATGTGTGTATGTATATATATATTTTTTTTTGTTCTCGTTTATCTTCCCGACATATCGATAATTATATGTATATGTATATATGTATGCGCACTACCGGCCAAATTTTTGGAATCACTGTTCATCGTGAGTTACAGAAAAATTTCTAAAAAAAAGTTTAAGTATTTTTCAAGGAACTTTTTGTCATTCAAATCAATCGAAACGATGTCAAGTGCTATTGGTTTCCACGACATAAATTTCAGGTTTGTAAAGAAATAGTAGCAGATTCAATATTGATGTAAATTGACATGGTGATTCCAAACTTTTGGCCGGTAGTGTATATCTTAACGTAGGTTGTAAAATAAGAGAAGAATTGTAAGAAAAGAAAAAAAGGGGGGGAAATTGGAGAGAAAAAGTGTTGCTTACGAAATGAAAGAAAAGAAAAGAAAAAAAAAAACGAAATATTACAGATGGACTAGATACTAATAACATTTCTTCGCCTTAAAATAAACGCTCGCTCTCTCGTTCCGTTCCGTCAAAATATATTTCTATACTTCTATCTATATTATTTGTATAATTCTATAGATATGCGTTTTCACCGTTCGTTTTAACAACGTCTTCGTTCGTCTCGTAGTAAAAATATTTTTTGGGCATCATCTTTGGGCGATCATCGTTATTCTCTATGCGTATGTAGATTTAAAAAATAATTCGATCCTTCGCTTTCGCGGCAATTACGGAGAGTTGGACGTCCATGTTTTACGCGCTCTCGATCAGGCCTATTACACAGAGATTCGCAGGCGACGTCGAGCGTCGTCTCTCCTTTCTTTTTCTCTCTTCGATTCGTCGATAAGACAACGTGCGTTCGATGTTTCTTTTTCGTTTTTGTTTCGTTTCTTCGTTTTCGCGACAGTTTCAAGCTACGTTCCTTTTTTTTTTTTTTTTCGTTCTTTGTTTCCCGCGCGACGATTCTCGCTAATACAAAAATAAATCGTCGTCTGCCTAGTGCACTACCATCGGAGGACCATCGGTTCTCTTCCCCTGTCCTTGTTCGTTTTTAACATCGAGATCGTTTTACAAAATATATATATGTATATAAGTATATTATTACGAGGATAAAACGCGGGTAAATTTCGACAAAAATACATACTCTCTGGTTTTTCTTTTTGTAAAAAGTTCGATACGAGAAAAGAGTACGAAAGCTAGAACCTTGAACGGCTGTTTTATAACGCTAATAGTGACTTTCGGTGATTATTATTTAGAGAACGATTAAAAATTCATCGATAGGATATACCGTTACATCGAATACGATTATAAAACACGATACTTATAGGATTACATCGTTTTTTTTTTGTTTTTGTTTTTTTTCATTTACTCGATATTCGTTCGAGCGATCTTAATTGTTTCACAACACCGAAGAATGAAAATTTCGATCGAATTCGAGCGGTGAATTTTCGAAAACGGAAATGACCACGCGTCCTGAGAGTAGAGCTTTGTTTCACAACAAGCAACGTGTGTCACAATCTGGTTCTCAGTTTCCTACGTTCACTTTTGAACAGCTTAGATCGCGTTACGCTACGAAATACGCAACTGTATTGGCACTGAAACGAGTCACCTGTTCGTTCCCACCGTCAAAAGTAAAGAGTTTTGATCGAGGAAATTTCGGGAAAGACAAAACGTAATTCTGGTCGCGGTGTCTTTCGAGAAGACGATTACGGAATAGAATCTGAAACGCACGTGCACAACCGAAAGAATCGTCGGATTATCACCGGTGAAAAAAAAAAAGAAATGAAGCTGGCTCGATGGTGACGCGAGATCAACGCCGTCTCGCTTCCGTTGTACACAGCAATAATAAACGATATTGCATAGACGAGGATAGCACCTGCAGAAGCATATGCTACGGTCCTTCCTAAAAGCCCGAGACCTTCGATTCTCGCGAGCATCTGGAGCGCTCGAATGCAACGTAGAAACGTAAACGTGTGGAATGCGATAAGGGGAGAGATCAACGGGTTCATTTGACTTGCTGACGAGGCGGTGGACCAACGGGCGGCAACGTCAGAGAGTCCCTCTTCTTCCTGTTCACGCGACGTCCAACATGTAGAACCACGTCTCCGGCTTTCACGGACTTGAACTCGGCGATCGCCTCGGCGTGCGTCATACCGTGAAGAGGTTTCGAATTTATCGATAAAATTTCGTCCCCTGAAACAGAGTGATTGCGTTTTTGGCTGTTTATTCGATTCGGTGAACTTTTTGGTGTGATGTGATAGAGATCATCCTGGGAGATAGGAAGTTTAATAACTAAACAATAAGATTAATGTTAAGGAAAAGTACGGAGATTATTATTAACCCTTTGCAATCGAGTGGCGACTGAGAAGCGACGTTAAATAATTTTACGTTAAATAAGACAGAGAGCAGATCTATAGATCTCCGTAAATTTGTTCACCGCAGTGAAATAGAGAATGCACGGAATATTTAAATAAAATAGTATAGCTTATTTGTAGGTTAGTTTGAAAAAATTCAAAGATCCGATTTGCAAGCTTTCTTACAGCAAAATGACCTCCGAGTGCAAAGGGTTAAGGGATTAAAGAAAATTTGCTATACTGTGTTCGATGAGAATTTAGGTAAGAGAAACGATGATGTTGGGGATTTGTAGTTAGTATATGAAATCCAAAAAGATCTATAATTTCGGAAAATTTTAAGCAACTGAAAGTTTTAGATAATTTTTTATTCAATCCCGATTCAATTTTATACTTATTTCATATATAATGATTTAGTTCTAATAACTTCTGATGTAAGGTAATTTTCATTTAATTTCGATTAAATTTTATATTCATTTCGAATATAACGATTTAGCTGCAATAATTTCACCTTAATACGATTGAGACGATTAAATTTGCAATATTGAACATGATTACCTATAATTTCAAAAAAATTTAAGTTACTCAACAAAAGTTTGTTTAATTTAATTTTTTAATTTTTCGTTCAATTTCGATTGAATTATTCAACAAGAAGGCGTCGTACCTTCTTTGACAGTTCCCAGGTCAGCAGCCTGGCCATTAGGAAAGACCGTCTTCACGTAGATTCCCATATTCCCTCGAGGACTGTCTGTACCACCGACGATACTGAAACCGAGTCCTTTGTGGCCAGGACCCTTTAGAAATCTGGCTGTCAGTATCGTGAATGACGCGCCACCCTTGCCAGGCCTTGGTAGGGTGCAGAATCTCGACTCTTCACCCTCGCCAGCTTCGTCGATGTCTTCGAGTTCCGAGTCGGTATTCAGGCCTTCGTCCGTATCTTGTGGACCCTACGAAAAAAGAAAAACCAAGAAAAAAAAAAAAAAGAAAAAAATCATCCACCGCCACAGTAGAACAAATCCAAGTTAATCATCCTTTCATTCTACTCACTTGCCAGGTCTTCAAACCGGCACCAGAAGAACTTGGAATATTCGCCACGCTTCTGCTATTCATTCGTCTCGTTGTCTTTTTACCAGGACTCTTTTCAGCTCCCAGACTAGACGGTCCGTCCTCTTTATTCATACAAGGTGAACCAGATCCGTTGGAATAATTGTTCACCTGTCCGCCAACTTTGAAATCTGTCATCCGTTTTCTCGGCGTCACCCTGGGTATATGAATCTCGTCGAACGACGGTTCCGACTGATTCTTCGGCTTCGAGTTCTTCTGAAAGTGTACGTTCTCGTACGAATGATGATCCCTCGTCTCGGAATTGCTTCTAGCCAGATGCCTCTCCGCGTGCGGCGTAACAGATAACGTTAACTCCGCTCTGTGGCCCCTCTGGAAGCGCACGTTCTCGTACGAGTGATCCTGGTGTCTGCCGTTATCACGGTTCTCCGAATTGCTGCGCTGCAACATGCCTCTGGTCCTTGGACAACATCCAGGCGACGACGTGGTGAACAGTACGTTCTCGTAGACGTCCTTCGGGCTTTGCTCGTGGCTGAGAACCGGTGAACCGTAAGCGCTGCTGCTCTGAGAGTACGTGAACGTCTTGTTGCCGTTGGCCAACGGGCTGCTGCAATTTGGAGAATTTGGTACGCTGCCTTCCGCCAGCGTTTCGAGATTATCGTGGAAAGGATAGGGCGGAAGGGAAGTAGGCTCGCTCGAATCGTACTCGCCGTCGAAATTCTGGCTTGTAGAGGAAGTTAAAGGACTTGGTACGTAAAAGTTCGACGAGTTGTCCTTCTGCGAGAACACCTCCGTCACGCTCAGAGCCTTCCTTTTACGGATACCAGCGTTTATCTTGCTGAATTTGCTTCGTAGAACGTGTTGAATGTCGGCTATCCCCTTGGTGGTACCTAAACGGCGGTGAACAACGAACGGAATTAGTGGTATAGTGAAATTGTATCGAATTATCAGCACTTGGTAACGCGTACGAAGGGGACGCAGTTACCTGGCAATCTCAGAGAGCTAGTCTGTAGCAATTTCTTGGGCGAACTGCCGTCCTGAAGGCTCTTGGCAGCTGGAGAGGACTCCCTGCTAGCCGGGCTGGACCTTACAGCTTGAATAACCCCCTGGGTCGTTCCACCTTGTATCAGAGCTTCCTGAGGCTCCGAGGTCTCCTGCACGGAACACCTTCTTCTCAGTTTCCTCCATCGTTGGCTGATGCTCTTGTTCCATAAATTCAGGTCTGTAACACGCAGGCGAAAAAGGACGCTGTTACGACTTATCCGGTCACAGGATGTGCTATCTCGTGACGAGGCTCGTTAAGGGAAACATGATGACCAAAAATTGCCACGAAAAAGGAAGAGACGAGGAAAAAGAAGAACGCAGAGAGGAGAAGTTGCTCCTCAATCATCGAGCTTAACGGCAGGAAGCACTTATCTGGTGGCCGCGCTAGGTGGAACGACGTGTTGTTATTTACCGAAGAAGGTACGCCTCGTGCGGAATAACAACGATAATGGGACGCGTATCGATAGTAAGTGTATCGTGTGAAAAGTGCGACGCGAAGCTGTGCAACGTGGAGAACTAAAACCATCCACAAAGCCTTCGGAATCGGTATCGGTTCGCTGGATCTCCGCGTCGATACGCACGCTTGAGAAGATCCAACAAGACGGCGTAACGCTTTCAGAGAGAGAGAGAGAGAGAGGGGAGGGAGAGAAAAAAGAAGAAAAAGAAGAAGAACTGGTAGCTTCTTTAATTACAATTCAGTATAGTCTCCATGTTGATGTCGGTAGATCCACGTGGCTAGAAAATACGAAGCGACGAGGATCGAGGTCCTGTGTCTCTCCTTTCACCGATTCCTCGAAGGGTCGTGCCCCCTCGACTTCCTCTTCCTCCTTCACGGTAGGGTGACGGCTTCGATGACCTTGGACAAGGCACGCGCATAACAAACCGTCGTGGTATTTTTCTTCAACGACGGAGGAAAGTCGTCGTTGTGTTACCGCGATGAATAATTAATGAAGATCGATGACAAGCATGGTCGCGGGGTCACTGAGCTTGCACTTAGCATTAATTCGACTAATCACGTTTGCAACTGCGCGTCGTTTTTTTCCCATTCTGCCGGGGGGGAACGTGTCACGAGGACAACGGGAACGAGAGAGAGGAGAACGGGGAGGAATCGGTGGTGGACGAGAGAGAAGAAATGAACGCGGCGCCGTCGTTGCCCTCGACGATCGTTGCTGACACACTGGGGCGTCGGTGGCGGCTGCACTCGCCATTATCCAGAGTTACAGTCATCTTGCAAAATGCACTTTCACTTCTCCACGTATCTCTGCTACGGATGCGCCCGGTTTCGCCAGGCCTTTTTCGTTCCGTAGCTAAACTAACGCCGGACGTTGTTGCGCTCTCTGCGCGTCCACACACACACACACACACACTCTTTTTCACGGAGTAACGTCCAGCACTTTTCTTTTTATTCTCCTTCTTCTTCTCGAGTTCCGCAACTTTTC